TAGAAAAGATTCTAAAATGCGAAGATATACAACTCAGCACAAAAGTTAAAATCATACAAGTATTCCCTATTACCATGTATGGATGTGAGAGCTGAACAGTTAAGAAAGAAGATAGGAAGAAAATCAATTCCTTTGAGATGCAGTGCTGGAGAAGAGTGCCGAGGATCCCATAGACAGCGAAAAGGACAAACAAATGGGTCCTAGAGCAGATCAAGCCGAAAACCTTCCTGGAAGACAATAATGCTGGGAAATGTGGAGGGAAGTAGGTAGAGAGGAAGGCCACATGCCAGATGAATGGACTCTATTAAGGAGGTCACGGGTATTAAGGGGTTGAAGGAATTAAGCAGAGCAGTGGAGGACAAGGGGTCTTGGAGATGTCTCATCCATAGTGTTGCCATGAGTTGAAATTGACTCAAGGGCAGTTAACAACAACAAAATATTTATGTGTGTGTGTACATGTATGCTCACACCTGAGCAGGTGGCCTGTACTGCCCACCTCAGTTCTCACAGAAACTGATGCAGGGTCATTTACTTACACAAGCATCTCCTTCTGCGACATCCCTGGGCAGCACACAGCTACTTAAAAACAATTTTGACATAAGCAGGGGAGAAAGAAGACACAAAAGCTTCCTGGTATATAACTACATTGAAGAGAGGAGCATGAAACAGTGTAATCTAATGCTGCTTCTAGTTTGTGGTGAATATGAAAGGCAGTTGCATTCAGATGTCTGTGTTTTTATTGCATATCAGTTTGGACTGAAGCACTCCTGTTAGATAACTATCCAACCTCTGTTTAAAAAACTCCAAAGAAGAAGAATCCATCAAGGCAATCTATTCTGTTGTTGAGCAGCTCTTACAGTCAAGACGCTCTCCTTAATGTTTAGGTAGAATTTCTTTTCTTGTAATTTGAAGTTGTTAGCACACCCTGCATGCCCCACATTATTCTGGGGTATAAATATTTTATTATATTTTGCTATAATAGTAGTTACCTAGAGGCCAACATCATGATCCTGGAAAGGTCATGGTGACCTTTGCAAAACCAAGTGAACTTCTCATGAGTAGTCACATAAGACCTGAGAGCATGTGAAAAGGACCCATGTAACATAATGTGTGTAAGTGTCACTTCTTCCCAACCCCCCTGCCATGTGCATTTCCTCTTAAAGGTCAATGATGAAGAGGTCTTCAACCTAAAGCAGTAAGCCAATCTCCCTGCTAGTCCCCATTGTATTTCCCAACACCTCATCCTGTCCCAAACTCTCTGTGGTTGTCCTGATTTTATCACTGCTCAATTAAATCAATGTCACCACCATTAACCAAAAACATTCCTTTTGTAATTCTGAAGTTAAAGCCATCAACTAGCTGGGAATCTTATTGTTTCTGGGATTCGTGGAAAATTCACTCAAACTCCTGAGAACTGCCTTATGGCACATAAATATACCCACTGGGGCTGCCCCCCAATTTATTCCAGTTTGGAATCAGGCAGAAACCCCTCTGTCCAATTCAGACTTGACTCCTCAGTACTGCAGCCAAAACAGAGTGCTGAGCCACATTCAAAACATAGTTTGGAGCATTGCCTCTGCAATCTGTAAAGTATTGCACTACTCTTCAAACCACTATCAGGTACCCTCTTGCTGCTTCCTATTGAACTGAATTAACTTCCTCATTGAATTCAGTAAGTGGGCACCCTCTTGGGACTCCTTGCAATTTGAGTAACAAAGTCTACATGTTCATAACCTAGTTTCTGGAGCAGTAGAAAGCAATCTCATTCCATCTTCTTAATGACATCCCTTCAGGTGTTTAAATATAGCGATTATATCACCTCTTCGGTCTTCACTTTAGATGTTATGGGGTGGGGTAACCTTCCAGATGGCATGGGGAGGTGGGAAAGACTCTCCTTAGACTGCTGAGGATGGGGATTGGCTGTGCAATTTTCTTCCTAACCTCCCTAACACAAACAGAACTAACTGGTAAAATAGAATAGGAGTGAGGTCTTCAACTCTCCATATGACATACCTTTGGAGCAATACAATACTACTTTCTGCCCCACAGAGATAGGAAGCTGAGCTTCACTGTTCAAGCTGACTAGTGGATTGCCTTGTAAAAGCCCAGTTTACATATTTTAATATTTTTTCATTGGTGGTCATATAGCATATATATTGACAGGTCTATATATATCTGGATATTTTTTTAAAAACTGAAGTTACTGGGGTTACTTTCTTACTAGAGAGGCTGGTTTTGTTGATGTACATATTTTATTTAAAAATTCAGCAACTTTCCAATGCAGGGTTCCAGTTATACCCAAAGATGGCTGTATTTACAGGTATGGTAGGAACCCAACCCTTCATTGCCTTTTCAACATCCAGAAAAAGTAATTCCTACTTAACATCATTGCCAGTTTCATTCAGGAGTATTCAATAGTGAGAGATAACCATTCTAACAATCATAGTTTGCTGTAACCTATTTTGATAGTAATTAATGTGCCCACTAAAGCATCAACTTGCCTGTTAATGCTTGTCTTGAAGGTCCATTGAGAATACTAAGAGAGCCAAGCCAACAAAGTAAGAGCTAAAATTCCAACAATCTTTTAAACTTTGGCAGTAGAAAGCTGTGCCATGTGTATACAGAAAGAACATTACAATTGTATGTGTTCTTTGTGCCTTAGATCCAAAACACACTGCAGCAATAATCCAGTTTGAGAACATTTTAACTGCCATGGCTGAATGCTAGGGAATTCTGGGAACTGTAGTTTCGTAAGATGTTTAGCCTTCTCTGTCAGAGAACTCTGATACCACAATAAACTACAATTCCCAGGATTCCCTAGCACTGAGTCATGGAAGTTAAAACAATCTCAAATTGGATTATTTCTGCTGTAAGTTTTGGACCTTAATTTATCTGATCTGCTTAAACACAGAACATTATCAATGGTTTCTTTCATACCAGTGCCCTTTAACAGTCTTCTGCAGTGGTATTCTGCAGTCACTGCAGGTGAAGTTAAAATGATGGTTCTACACAGCATATAATACAGTGCTATATTATATGGCAGTCCCTCTGGCCAACATCCTTTTAAAAGGGGAACCTCTGACCTAATTCGGTCTGCACAGTCCAAACTTGTTTTGCCAGAGGCCTGAGAGATGCTGTCTTCTCTCCTCAAGCTCCAAGCATTTTACCAACACTGGAAATGTAAGCAAAGTTTAGGAGGAATGCTTTTAGAATTCAGAAACAATGTCATGTTAATCTAGAATATCAGAATTCAAAGGGATTTTGTTGCACATTTGAGACTAACTGTACAAAAGAAGTTGTAGCATAAGCTTTTCCAGACTTGCTCTACTTCCTCATGGAGGCATGCCTTTGTTATTTCTGATCTGGTATCAAAGGTAGTAGAGGAATTATTTGTGCAGTGGGGAAATCATGGAGCTCATGCCACTCTCTACACAGAGAGGTAGCAAATCATGTGTGAGAGTAAGTAGGCCTGGATGATATCAGGAGAGAACACAGCATTGTGGCACACCATTTTTGTGCTGGGGCAATCTGGCCATGGGAGCCAATCCATTTCCCCATCTCTGTTTTGTAATTTTTACTTAGGAGCAAACTCCCTTTAGAGAACCAGAATGGTGTAGTGGTTTGAGTGTTGGACTAGGGTGCTGAGGACCAGGGTTCAAATCCCTGCTTGGCCATAAAAACCCATTGGGTGATTTTGGGCAAATCACATATTCTCAGCCCCAGAGGAAGGCAATGGCAAACCCTCTCTGAACAAACCTTGCCAAGAAAATCCCATGATAGGATCACCTTAGAGTCATCATAAGTCGGAAACAACTTGAAGGCACCAAGAACAACAACAAAGATCCATTTAGCAAATGCTTCCTGCAAAACCTCTCACATCTCAGCTTGTAATTGTTTCCTGTCTCACATGCCACAGTATTAGTGATGAAGTGTCCTTACTTTTTCTTTAGTTCCTGTCCCTTACATTATGGTTTCCTTTTCTCCTTTTGAAATAGCAATTAAAAGAAAAGACTAAAAAAAGAGAGTCAGCAGTCCTCCTCATAGTTTGCAGGAGTGTAAACTAACCCCCCCTTCCTTGAAAATACAATTACTGCTTGTATTTTTGTGCAATCTGCAGTTTGTTGTGGTGTCTAAAACTATAGTAAGCATTTTTCAAGTTTGAAGGATTTCTCCAGTTCTGGTTTGGTAAGCACTAACCACCACTGGGTACCATGGACATCTTGCCCATGGATAGTGTCAAATTGTAACACGAAGGTACAACTGTGTACAAGAAGTTATCTTTGACCTATGGGCCAAAACAGGTGAAATATAAATGTTTGTCAGATATCGATACTTCCAAAATTGAAATATCACTAGTAGGGCAGGAGGACCAGAGTTCAAGACTAGGGTGCCTGGGGAAGGGTATTCAACCGTTTCCCCAATACTCTGCTCCCAATAACCATTATGACCTACTCCATCTTCTTTTTTTCTGGAAGGGTAATTATTACTGGCACCCTCAATGATAGGCGTTAAATCTGAGCACAGAAAATGTTCAATAGGTACCATGATGTGGAGGCAGAGATTACCACCTCATCTTCTGGATGCCATATTCAAAATCCTAATAATCTCCTCTCCTATAGTCTATTTTGGCTCCGAATCAAGCCAGGATATCAGGTATGTTGCTTCCAAGATCCTTGGGATGTGGGGTGAGAATCCCTGTCCTTCCCTATGGTAGTAATCAAATGCTGCATTTGCCTTTTATTTGGAAAGCAAACTAGTCAAGTATATGCGCTATCCATTATTTGCAGAACCAGAACCAGAATTGAGTTAAACTGCTAAGCACTAATTCTCCTGTAGCTGCCAACTGTTGCTAATTAAGCATCCCTGCAGAATCAAGGCAATCTTGTCTGTTAAGAGCTCTGTGTCTCAGTGTTCCTTCTCCCAATTATGCTCCTTTTATTTTGTCTTCTCCATCTTAGCATCTCCTAAATGTCTGCTCTGTTCATATCTTCCTGTCCTGTAAAGGCATATTTGTGCTGAAAATTCATGCATTCTGTAGTGCTAGATGTACATAAAAATAAATCACACGCTATATAGTGTGTGGTTATATGACACAATAGCAGTCCTGTACCTAGATAAAACTGTTTCCTAGCAATGTACTGCATAGATTCCCGAGTAGTATTTTCTGTTTAATTTAGATTCATGTCTTCTGTGTGTTTGGTAATGGAACTATGTTTCCATTCCCTCTCCCTCTCTTTTTAATATTGAAGGCACTGGATTTACTGCACTAAATGGGGAAGTGGTTGTAATTCTGTTTCCCTCCTTGCAATACGATGTCTGTGAATAGCGAACCAAATGTTTGGATCAGTTTTTGCCAATATCACTCTCTCTGATTTAAATGCCATGCTATCTATAGATCACTAAACAATCTAGTGACTTCCAATAAGATTGTTTGCTTCTCTGTGTTAATGGTGGTGGTGGTACCATTTTTCAAAAAAAATAAATAAACCAACCTCTGTTCCTTTCCCAACTACTCATTGTAGTTAAAGTATGTTTATATCAATCACACTGTAAAAACATCCTGTAGGCATACAACCTCACATATTTTCATCTGCGCCTATGTACAATGTACATTGTCCACATATTCTATTAATGGCTGCTAATCCTGCATAAAGTAGGCATAGGCAGATAAATGCACCTGGTTCTGCTCCACCTAATTTTCTGGAAAATGGGATTGATTGAGTTTGCTTGCCCAAACTCCAAATTGGATCACATAATCTGAAATGGCTTCCATGTGTACTCCATAGCTAATCTCCTGCTGGTTTCTGGGATAATTATGATAGGAACCATTTATGAGGACCAATTCTCTGTAGCACACCCTGATTATCATTTTTAAAAGCACTGAATTGCAAAGATTAGTCCTATTTCTGGTGACTTCTCTGAAAGCAATGAGCATGAATAATCACTTCATGGGATTTTTTGGGATCCCTGAAAAGGTAGAGGAAATCCTTGTCAATTTTGTTGTTCTATGCACCTTCAAGTCCTTTCTGACCTATGGTGACCCTGAGGTGAATATGTCACAGGGTTTTCTTGGCAAGATTTGTTCAGAGGGGGGTTACTTTACCTTTCTCTGAGGCTGAGAGAGTATGACTTACCCAAGGTAACCCAGTGGGTTTCTATGACTGAGCGAACCCTTGTCTGCAGCTTACACAGTGTAGAAATAAGAAAGTTTGGCACCACTTTAACTGCCATGACAGTGCTATGGAAATCTTGGATTTTTAGTTTTGCGAGCTATTTAGATTTCCCTGTCAGAGACCTCTGGTGCCTCAATAAACTACAAATCCCAAAATTCCATGCCATTGAACCATGGAAGAGATGTCAAACTGCTTTATTTCTGCACTGTGGCAACAGCCTTATACATTCAGACCACTATACCATGCTGTCTCTAATCAATCTTACTAGTTACTTTAAAAAAAGAAAATACCTACATATTGCTTTCTGTTGTGCCATGCAGACAGAGCAGTGGTGTCACTAAGGAGCAGTAGCATCACTAAGGATATTGTAATCTGAAGGTATAATTTTAATTTTGCTAGTTGTTTATATTGTTTATGTCACAATTTATAACATGACATTCAGTGATATATGGGAATTACGATTTACGAGTAACATTAGTGCAAAAAACATGACTAAGGATTCTGTATGGTGTGAAACAGGAGGTGGTCAATGGAGGGGGGTGACACCATGAGTTACTGCACCAGGTGACACCAAACCTAGGGATGCCATTGAGACAGAGGCTTGTGTCTGGTTTAAATTGCCTCATAGGAAAGCTATGGCAGAGAAGCAATCCCATGAGGGGAAAGCTTGAAGAAAAAAACTACAACCCAAAGAACACTTTGCTTTCTGCATTTGAGACTGTCATATACAGGCCAAGCTAGTGGTTACAGTCAGCACAATGTCCTCTCTATTTATTTTACCTAATGGGGTGCTTCTCCACTTTTGTGAATAAATTACTTTATGATGAGATGGCTTTTAAAAATACCCTTGTATTTTTCCCAAAGTGGATATACACCAGAGTGGGGATAATAATGATGCCTCCTCTGCTCCTTTATAGCTGAGATCTTCCTATGTTTCATGGTTGGTCTGGAACGCATTAGTCGGCAGCAGAGGGATTCCTGCTCTTCCAGATGACATGCCATTCTGGTCTTGATTCCTGTGATTGAGGAACACTTGTTCATTCTGTCATAGAGCAAAATTTGTTTTTTTCTTACTGTCATTTATTTGTATAGTGTCATTGCTGTATATTGCATTTTACAAGTAAAAGGGCAACAGTCTTCTCCATTTTCTGTGGGGCTTATTTATCCCTTGTGTCTCAGAATCTTTGCGTCTGCACTACCAAGAGTGTTATCTTCTATCCAGTGTTGAGTTACCAGATTAATACCATCCTAGGCCCTGAAATTTCAGGGCCAAAATCTAAGACCAAGGGAATGCCCCAGAGTTGTCAAAAGAGGCAATCACTGATGATTAAATGTGATAGATTAAGAATTAATCAAAATTGCTTGGATTATATCCTTCAGATGATTAAACCAATAAAGTCTAACAAAGGGAAATACCTGCACACACTATTCAAGGCAGTGCTCTTGTTGGGGTGCATAAGGCACTACATCCTCACTCTGAATCCCGTTTTCTGCATGGAGCAGTTGGACCCTGAATCAGTGGGAAAGGATAGGTGTCCTTGTCATGAAGAGTTCCCTCCCTGCCTCAAGAACTGCACAGCCAAATAGTCTGATTCTCTGATCTGTGTGTACTTGTAAAAAACTACCGTAATATTTTTTATTCATCACATAAATGCACAGCATGGTAAGAGGATAGAGGCTGAACAGAACCCCTGATTATGGGACGAAACAGTTGGCCCCGAAGGAGCAGCTTGCCACTGCCCCTTTGATCGCTGGGTTGGGCTGCGGCAACCGCACATCACACTGCCAACTCGGCATTTTCCCAGCACAAAAAGAAGCGGCAGAAAGCTGCTCCTTTTTGCGCTGGGAAAAAGGCACCTTTGCCACCGTGGTGGCATTTTTCCTGGGTTTCTGCAGCGCAGCATGTGTAAACGCTGCACTACAGAAACCCCATGAAGCCGCCACACGTGCGGTCAGCCGTGCAACTTCCAGTGGCATGGGGGCATACTGCTGTCTGAACCCCATTCCCCCTGGAAGCAGGCTCTTTTTGTCAGTCAACTGTATATCTTTCTTTTTTAAAAATGGGCTTCAACCATTTCAATAGGACATGACTGCCATATATATAAGCACATCCTTTTCTTTTTTATTAAAAACCTGTTTCTAAATAAAGTGCCCTTGGTACCCTCTGGGATTTGGTTCCAGGACCCCCATGGATACCAAAATCCATGGATGCTCAAGTCTCATTATATACAATGGCCTAGTAAAATTCTGGTGTGTGGGTTGTGACTTATGGCAACCCTAAGATGAACCTATCACAGGGTTTTCCTGTCCAGTTTCTTCAGAAGGGGTTTTGCCATTGCAGTTTTTTGAAACTGAGTGACTGTGACTTGCTCAAACTCACCCACTGGGTTTTCGTGTTTGAGTAGGGATTCAGGCCCTGTTCTCCAGTGTCGTAGTCCTCAAACCACTACACTATGCTGGCTCTTAGTAAACTGGTATCCCTTATATAAAATAGCAAAATC